AAGAAGAAGAAGAAGAAGAAGAAGAAGAAGAAGAAGAAGAAGAAGAAGAAGAAGAAGAAGAGGGGGAGGAGGAGGAGGAGGAGGAGGAGGAGGAGGACTGTGAGGTCCTTGGTGCTCTCTGAGCTTAGTTCCTTTCTTGCAGACATTTCATGACCCAACTAGGTAACATCATCAGTGGCATTGGTGCTGGTGCTAGCCCTGATGACGTTACCTAGTTTGGGTCATGAAACATCTGCAAGAAAACCCCCAAGCTCAGAGGGAACCAAGGACCCCTCAGTCCTCCTCCTCCATCATCTCCTTCCTTCTAGCCCTGATGACGTTACATACTTTGGCTAATGCAACGTCTGCGAGAAAACCACCCAACACAGAGAGCAACAAGGACCCCTCATTTCAGTGCTGAGCTACCAATATTCTCCTTTAACGATGCCCTAACTGGAAAGTTACATTTCAGGAGGTCCACTAAAACAGGGGTCCCCAACCCCAGGCCACAGACCACTACCGGTCCGTGGCCTGTTAGGAAGCGAGGCGCAACGATGAAGGTGAGCGACAGGGAAGCGGAAGTGCGCATGCGAAGGGGTCTAGGTTGCGTACTCCTCCCCCCCCGTCCTACCAGTCCGTGGAGAAATTGTCCTCCACAAAAACGGTCCCTGGTGCCGAAAATGTTGGGGGGCTACTGACCAAAAAGGTTGTTTTTTGAGAACGACGGCAAAGAGGCAGATACAGTAGTGGCCAAAATGGTGGAAACCTTTTGGGGAAAAGTGTACAGTAGAAATGGCACCTTTGGTTAAGTTTCCACCCATTTTTCTTCTCATTTCTTTATAACTGTAGCCTTGTTCACTTAATAATACTATTTTGCATCGCTTGCTGGGCGACCAGTCAACTCTTTGCACCACGACTTTAATTTTATTACGTTTTGCAAGCTCACTCAATGAAAGAACACACAAAAAAAAACCAGCCCACTTGATAGCGATCACATAACACACGGACAAATGTCCTCCTCTCAGCTTCAATACAGGACATCAATCACTGGATCCTACTGTGATTTGATTGGCTCATGGCCAAAACAAGATGATACTTGATTGGCTCTCTAAACACTCATGCTCATTGGCTACAATCAGATGAAGGAGAGCTACCTGAGATGATGATGATGATAATAATAATAATAATAATAATAATAATAATAATAATAATAATAATAAATAATAATAATAATAATAATAATAATAATAATAATAATAATAATAATAATAATAATAATAATAATAATAATAATAATAATAATAATGATAAAGTTGGAAGGGACCTTGGAGGTCATCTAGTCCAACCCCCTGCTCAGGCAGGTAACCCTATCCCAGTGATGGCGAACGTTTTAGAGACTGAGTGCCCAAACTGCAACCCAAAACCCACTTATGCATCGTCGAGTGCCGGGTGGGTGTGGCCCATTGGCTGGGCATGGCTACGGTGGTAACGGCAGACTGGGTGGGACTAAAAGTTCAATCAGTTCCAACTTTGCAACATATTTTTTTTCCCGTGAGAAGTTGAAATTGACTGAACCTTTTTATTTTTTTGCACACGGTGGTGGAGGCCTAAAGCGAAAAGGTTTTATAAAACCCAGCTGAAGGCCTAGGAGTGCCCACAGAGAGGGGTCTGAGTGCCGCCTCTGGCACCCGTGCCATAGGTTCGCCACCACTGCCCTATCCCATTTCGGACAAATGGCTGTCCAGTCTCTTCTTAAAAACTTCCAGTGTTGGAGCATTCACACTTTCTGGAGGCAAGGAGTTCCACTGGTTAATTGTTCTAACTGTCAGGAAGTTTCTCCTTAGTTCCAGGTTGCTTCTCTCCTTGATCAGTTTCCACCCGTTGCTTCTTGTCCTGCCTTCAGGGGCTTTGGAGAATAGCTTGACTCCCTCTTCTTTGGGGCAACCCCTGAGATACTGGAAGACTGCTATCCTGTCCCCCCTCGTCTTCCTCTTCATTAAACTAGATGTACCCAATTCCAGCAACCGTTCCTTATATGCTTTAGCCTCCAGTCCCCTGATCATCTTTGTTGCTCTTCTCTGCACTCTTTCTAGAGTCTCAGCATCTTTTTTACATCGTGGTGACCAAAACTGGATGAAGTATTCCAAGTGTGGCCTTACCAAGGCCTTGTAAAGTGGTATTAACCCTTCACGTGATCTTAATTCTATCCTGAGCAAGTGGTGCTTCCTTTTTCTGGTTATTTGGCTATAGCTTTTTCATAGAATACAGCACAGATAATTGAACAGACTTTGTTGCATGACATTCTTGATTAAGTTATCTTTCCGTTGATATAAAATGTTATGGTACTAGTCTCCCCAAAAAGTGGTGTTATTAGCCATCCAATCTCAAAAATACACTTTTTCCCCAAAAGGTTCCCACAATTTTGGCCACTACTGTATTGGCCCCCAATTCCCTCTTGCTGGAAACCTGCATTTGATAACGTCCCGAGTGTCGTGTGACGGGTCTTCAGCTTCTCCGCTCTTTTCTCTCTGGTCCCCAGGAGGAAGAAAACTACAGGGAGGATTCGGACGCTCGGCTGCGAGGATCGGAGCCCCAGTCTCCCCCCCAAGGGACGCGCCACAGATCCCACTACCGCAACCGGGAGCACTTTGCCACCATACGCACAGCATCGCTGGTGAGCCGGCTTGGCCTCTCTCCTGGGCCACAGCGAGTAGGCGCGGGCGTGCCCTTCGCACAACCCCCTTGCTTGTCCACCTGTCTTTCGAAAAACTCGTGGAAAAATATTCGCCCTACAGAACAGAGAACCCGGTTCCCACGGGTCTCTCCAGCGATGACTTTGTCTGTCAGTCTGCCCGCCTGCCTGTCTCTGTCTGTCTGTCTAACTATCTGTGTGTCTGTCTATCTGAAATCTAAAATCCATTATCTATTATCTGTATATATCTATCTGAAATTATCATTTATATCTGTCTGTCTATCTAAAATCTATCATGTTTGTCTCCAATATCTATCTATCTGTCTGTCTGTCTGTCTGTCTGTCTATCATCTATCTATCTATCTATCTATCTATCTATCTATCTATCTATCTATCTATCTATCTATCTATCTCTTTCTATTCTCTATATCTATTTCTATCTATTATCTATATCTCTCTATCTCTTTCTCTATTTCTATTATCTATATCTATATCTATTTCTATCTATCTCTTTCTCTATTTCTGTTATCCATATCTATCTTTCTCTGTCTCTCTATTATCTATATCTCTATCTATATCCCTATTTCTATTTCTATCATCTATCTATCTTTCTCTATTTCTATTCTCTATATCTATCTCTCTATTTCTATCTATCTCTCTATTATCTATATCTATCTCTTTCTCTATTTCTATTATCTATATCTATCTCTCTATTATCTATATCTCTATCTATTTCTATTTCTATCTATCTCTCTATTATCTATATCTATCTCTTTCTCTATTTCTATTATCTATATCTCTATCTATTTCTATTTCATCTATCTCTTTCTCTATTTCGGTTATCTATATCTCTATTATCTCTATTTCTATTTCTATCATCTATCTATCTATCTTTCTCTTTCTCTATTTCTATTCTCTGTATCTATCTCTATTTCTATCTATCTCTCTATTATCTATATCTATCTCTCTCTATTTCTGTTATCTATATCTATCTCTCTACCTCTATTATCTCTATCTCTATCTATATCTCTCTATTTCTATTTCTATCATCTCTCTCTCTATTTCTATTTATCTATCTATATCATCTATATCTATCTATCTATCATCTGTATCTATCTACCTACCTACCTACTCCTGTCTTTATTATTTATACCACGGGTTGTCCAACCTTGGCCACTTTAAGACATGTGGACTTCAGGTCCCAGAATGTCAACCTCCAGCATGGCCGGCTGGGGAATTCTGGGAGTTGAAGTCCACAAGTCTTAAAAGTGCACTTAACAAGTGTCTTGCACAGCAGTGGAAACTTTGAGCTCAACTGTGGTTGTAAGTTGGGGACTCCCTGCATTTTTCCTTGCTTTGGCACGGCCCAATACCCTCCGGGTCCGTTTCCTCGGCTGGCCTGGGTTTTGTGCTGAGGCTTTGGGGGACTTGGGGGGTGTCTTTCCTGTCCTAAAAACGGCCCCTGGGGCTTCTCGGTCCTCGGCAGGTGACCCGCCAGATGCAGGAGCACGAGCAGGACTCCGAGCTGCGGGAGCAGATGTCCGGCTACAAGCGCATGCGGCGGCAGCACCAGAAGCAGCTGATGGCTCTGGAGAACAAGCTGAAAACCGAGATGGACGACCACCGCCTGCGGCTGGACAAGGATCTCGAAACGCAACGCAACAACTTTGCGGCGGAGATGGAGAAGCTCGTCAAGAAGCACCAGGCAGCCATGGAGAAAGAGGTGAGGGCTGATTTTGTAGAGGTGTTTATAATAATAATAAAGTTGGAAGGGACCTTGGAGGTCATCTAGTCCAATCCTCTGCTCAGGCAGGAAACCCTATAGCAGGGGTAGGCAACCTTGCCTCTTTTATGACTCGTGGACTTCAACTCTCAGAATTCTGGGAATTGAGGTCCACGAGTCATAAAAGAGCCAAGGTTGCCTACCCCTGCCCTATACCATTTCGGACAAATGGCTGTCGAGTCTCTTCTTAAAAACTTCCAGTGTTGGAGCATTCACAGCTTCTGGAGGCGGGTTGTTCCACTGGTTAATTGTCCTCACTGTCAGGAAGTTTTTCCCTTAGTTCTAGATTGATTCTCTCCTTGATTAGTTTCCATCTGTTGCTTCTTGTCCTTCCTTCAGGCACTTTGGAGAATAGCTTGACTCCCTCTTCTTTGGGGCAGCCCCTGAGATACTGGAAGACTGCTATCATGTCCCCCCCTCGTCCTTCTCTTCATTAAACTAGACATACCCAATTCCTGCAACCGTTCCTTATATGCTTTGGCCTCCAGTCTCCTGATCATCTTTGTTGCTCTTCTCTGCACTCTTTCCAGAGTCTCGGCATCTTTTTTACATCGTGACCGTGAAGTCAGTATGCCCGTTCTGATCACCAGTGCAAAAAAGGCGCTTAGAAAGAGTGCAGAGAAGAGCAACAGAGGAGTCTGGGGGCTAAATCCAGAGGGAACTAAGTGTCAATAAAGAAGAATATTTGCAGCTCAGGATGGAAATGAAGGGGTTTTGCTGCTCTCTGAATTCGCTTGTTTTCCTGCAGACGTTTCATTACCCAACTAGGTCAGGGGTCCCCAACCTACAAGCTGAGGACCGGAAGCAGGCCCAAGGTTCTTGGCCAGCGGGCCGCGGAAATGGCTGGCCAGTGCGCGCATGCATGGGTGCGCATTCCCCCCCCACTCGTGCTACCGCCCATGGCCCTGTTGGCACATGCATAGGGACACGAACGGAGCCACTAGCCCCAGGTGTGTGTGCGCGGCCCCTTTGCGCATGCACGAACGGGCCACTAGCACCAGGCAAGTTGCACGGCCGTTCGTGTGAACGGGGCTGCTAGGAGGTGCACAGCCATTCGTGCATGCGCACGGCGCCAGCGCATGCCTCACGCGCAAATGGGGCTGCTAGGTTGCTTCTCTCTTTCATTAGTTTCCATCCGTTGCTTCTTGCCCTGCCTTTGAGGGGCTGCCCCAAAGAAGAGGGGGGTCAAATTATTCTCCAAAACAGCTGAAGGCAGGACCGGAAGCAAAGGATGGAAACTCATCAAGGATGATGTGTTTGTTTGTTAATATGGAGCTATGATAATTAATTGGATGAAATTTGAATCTCGTCTAATGGACTGAAATGATTTAAGGTTTGATATTACTCTGTCAGCTTCAAGAGATTGATTGATGGATGGATGGATTAGATATGTATAGGATAGATCAATATTTTATTTTAATTAGGAGATATTAGTGGAAGAAGAAATAAACAAGACTTATGATAAAAATTAAGGAATTAGAATATACCTGGAAGGGATACCTGAATTGATAAATGTGTTTATTTAAAGTTAAATTTGATTGTGGTATTGTAAATTCATAAAGCTCTAAAACAGGTTTAGGATTAATAGAAATTTAAGTTAGAAATGGATTAACTTAAATATATTAAGCTACTAGCTGTACCTGGCCACGCGTTGCTGTGGCTCAGTCTGGTTAAATGGAAAAGAAAGAAAAGAGAAAGCGCACGTTTCTAATATGTTTAATTTCACAATGCTAGCGTGTGTTGCTTTTACGTCCAACAGATGGCGCTGTTTTCCAAAAAAAGCATGTTTTTACCTGTCACAGGTGTGACATCTATAATATAATAGTAGGTATATAAAAACACAGCGCGTATTCAAATGCAACGTTGTGTCAAAATTTCAAAGCAATCGGTGAAGAACTTTCGAAGATTTAAGATTTTGAACAAACGAACATTTACATTTTTATTTATATAGATCAGTGTTTCTCAACCTTGACAATTTTAAGGCATGTGGACTTCAACTCCCAGAATTCCACAGCCATTGTATGGCATACAATGCTGGCTGTGGAATTCTGGGAGTGCCTTAAAATTGTCAAGGTTGAGAAACACTGATATAGATAGATTTGAGGGAGATAGAGAGAGAATATTTGATGTATTGATTGAGTTATTTATATATGTTTTATTTTTGGATCTTTGATTACCCCAGCACCACGGTGTGTCTTGAGCACTTTGTCTTAAGAATTCAAAAACCAATAAAATGTGTTTCAAAAAAAAAAAGAAAGAAACTAATCAAGGAGAGAAGCAACCTAGAACTAAGGAGGAATTTCCTGACAGTTAGAACCATTAACCAGTGGAACCACCTGCCTCCAGAAATGGTGAATGCTCCAACACTGGAAGTTTTTAAGAAGAGACTGGACAGCCATTTGTCTGAAATGCTATAGGGCAGTGGTGGCGAACCTATGGCACGGGTGCCAGAGGCGGCACTCAGAGCCCTCTCGGTGGGCACGCGCACCGTTGCCCCAGTCCTAGGCCTTCAGCTGGGTTTTATAAAACCTTTTCGCTTTACGCCTCCGCCGCCATGTCCAAAAACAAAAGGTTCAGTCAATTTCAACTTCTCGCGGGGAAAAAAAAGATCTTGCAAAGTTGGAATTGATTGATTGAACTTTTTAGTCCCACCCAGTCTGCCGTTACCACCACAGACACGCCCACCCAATGGGCCACGCCCACCCAATGGGCCACGCCCGCCCGGCACCCGATGATACATAAGTGGATTTTGGGTTGCAGTTTGGGCACTTGGTCTCTAAAAGGTTCGCCATCACTGGTATAGGGTCTCCTGCCTGAGCAGGGGGTTGGACTCGATAACCTCCAAGGCCCCTTCTGGCTCTAGGATCCTATGAGAACTGGGTGCAAGGAAGGCAGCTGGGGGTCGGGGTTGGGTTAGAGTCCTGGTCTGCCTAAGGGAGGTGAGTCTGTTGTTGGTGCAGAAAGATTCAGCCTCTTTCTCTCCTCTCCCGCTGCGGGGCAGGCCAAAGTGATGGCTAACGAAGAGAAGAAGTTTCAGCAGCACATCCAGACGCAGCAGAAGAAAGAACTCAACAGCTTTTTGGAATCCCAGAAGAGAGAATACAAACTCCGCAAAGAGCAACTCAAAGAGGTAAGGGGGGGGGGCGCGGGCAGAGAGGATTGATTTATTTGTTCATTGTCAGGCCCCCAAACCACGTGATCCTTCCAAGCCGAGCACTTTATTGCTTATTACCTGTATTTAATAGTTCCTTGCAAAGTGTAAGCGAGAGATTTTTTTTCCGTCAACCTCCGGCTCGAGAATCCAAATCAAACTCCAGGTTCATTCCGTCTCCGAGAACCGTGCTGTTTATTGAATACACTGCATGGGTTATGTCGAAGCGAAACTCACTCTGAGGTTTCATCCCCAGTTCATAGGCTTACTGTAGGGATTCTTCTGACATCCTTTGCATAATCTGTACCCCAACACGTAGGTTAAAAAAAGAGAGTTTCTTCCATGCTAACGAAGCAAACAGTTCTCTCGTGGCTGGCATTCATAAATGGCTGGCATTCACGACTCGGCTGAAAATCTGGCGGCGGCCTGGGATGTGGCCACTGCCGCAGCACTGGACCGAGTCGTGCCTTTGCGGCCTCTGACCCGACGCAGATCTCAATTGGCTCCCTGGTTTACCGAGGAGCTGAGAGAGATGAAGCGCCGGAAAAGACGCCTAGAGAGCAGTTGGAGGGCTAGCCGAACCGAATCCGACCGAGCACAGGCAAGGATGCATGTTAGATCCTACCTATTGGCAATGAGGGTGGCGAGGTCTAATTACTACTCCACCCTCATTGCGTCATCTGATAATCGCCCAGCCACCCTCTTCAGGGTGACCCGCTCTCTCCTTCAGTTGAGGGGGGGGGAGGATCCCCTGGAGGGGAGGGCTGAGGACTTTGCTCAATATCTGCATGACAAAGTTGCTCGGATCCGAGAAGGCTTGGACTCTGACTGGGTGGCCCCGGGGGAGGAGACAGGAGCAGGTCTTGAGACTGTTATATGGGAGGAGTTTGACTCTGTGGCTCCCGAGGACGTGGACAGGATACTGGGGAGGCTGAATGCAACCACATGTTTACTGGATCCGTGTCCCTCCTGGCTGGTACTGGCTGCCCGGGAGGGTACACGAGCCTGGCTCCAGGGAATTATAAACGCTTCTCTACGGGAGGGTGTCTTCCCCGTAGCCTTGAAGGAGGCGGTGGTGAGGCCCCTTCTTAAGAAGCCTTCCCTGGACCCAGATGTATTGGCTAACTATCGCCCGGTCTCCAACCTTCGCTTTGTGGCGAAGGTTGTTGAGAGTGTAGTTGCGTAGCAATTCCCCCGGCGCCTGGAGGAAACAGTCTATCTAGACCCGCTCCAGTCGGGCTTCAGGCCAGGGTACAGCACGGAAACGGCATTGGTCACATTGGTGAATGATCTCTGGAGGGCCCGGGACAGGGGTTATTCCTCTGTCCTAGTTCTTTTGGACCTCTCAGCGGCTTTTGATACCGTGGACCACGGTATCATGCT